ATAGCGGTGAGTTTTTCCCCAATAGGAACGCATTAAACAGAGTTTAATGTGTTCCTATGGGTTCCCCCCTGCATAGCGACGAATCCGGATAGTGACGTTAATCCTGGAACGGATTAACGTCACTATGCGGGGCACCACTGTAAGTCCCTGGATTTTTTTACATTTCCAGCAAACATTACTAATCCCTTCTGACATTTTTGCCAATCTTACAGGAGTAACATGCCACCTATGAAACAATTTAAGGATATTTTCTCTAAGCTTCACTGGCTTAATCATTTTATGATTCTCTTTCTACATTTTTGTCCATTCATCCATATCAATATTGTACCCAAAGTTTTGTGCCCATTTTACCATTGCCTCCTTCACTTTCTCATCCTCTAAATTGTATTCTAATAAGTATGTATACATTTTTAAAATTATTTTCTCATTAGTATAAATCCATAATTTATCCACTTGGATTTTCCCCTCAAAAAAGTCCCTAGTTTTATCCTTTTTGTATCTTGATTCTAATTTCATCATTGACCACTAATCTGTAGCAAGGCCCATTTCTCTCGATCTTGTTTATCTTTCATATTCTGGTCTTTAGTTAATAAGTCTTTATACGTGAGTTACGCTCCCTTCTGATTCAATACTTTCAGTGTAAATGGTTCTATTGGTGCTACCCATATTGGAATTTTCTTGTAGGTTTCGATTTGAATTTTTTGCCATACGAAACAGAGCACCTTCCGTGGAAAATGTTCTCTGAAGTTGTTCTTTGCACTTCCCATACCACACATATGCATGCCAACCCATTTTTAAATCATGACCATCCAATTTCAATAATCTTTGATTTCCTAACGTTAACCATTATTTAATCCAGACCATGGCACATGCCTTATAATATAATAGCCAATTCGGTAATCCTGAACCACCTCTTTCTTTTAAGTCTTGCAATATTCTGAGTTTTATTCTTGGTTTCTTGGCCTTCCATACAAATTTCAAAATCAGGCTGTCCAGGTCCTCAAAGTATTTATAATTTAATAAGATTGGTAAATTTTGAATTAAAAATAACAGTTTGGGTAATATCATCATCTTTATTATCGAGATTCTTCCCATCATTGAAGTTTGTAGCCTATTCCATTCTTCCAAGTCTCTCTGAATTTCCTTCTGTGCTGTAAGATAATTTTCTTTCATCAAATTACTTGTGTTTTTTTTGTGGTAATAACTCCTAGATATTTCACTTTTTTTTACTGATACATTTTCATTTAGCAGTTGCCACTTGTCGTAACAATGATTACTTTATCCACTTTGCTGTCAGTCCTAAGAAGCATAGTAAAAAGCAATATTCAGAGTTGCAGCTGAGAAACATCTGGAGGTTGCACTTTGTTCAGCCTTGTTATAAAGCCTAAAGAACTATCTCATGTTACTCGTGGTAATAGGTTATAGCTCTCATTTTGTTGAGTAATCTCATAACCAGACACACTGTTAAATAAAGTAACTGTCTCCATCCTATCTGCAGTAAATTACACTAGACTTTGCAATATGAAAACAACATTATCAGTTATAGCATTACTTTTTATCTTCCAAATTGGCCTCAGTACATTCTATATGATATCTTCTATGTTCCATTGTACCATTGACTCTGTACCAGTACTAGAAAGTGGTTTAGCAATGTGTCCCCTCTTCAGCAGTGTCTAAAGACATGTAAAAGAGCTCTGTTTATCTGAGCCTTCTTTTTTTTCATCTTCTCCTGATGTAGTGACAGAAAAGTCCCCCAGTGCTCTGACTTTAGGAGATTCTAGTGTTACAAGCATACCCGTCACATGCTTTTTGTAAAATTGTGATTTTGAAGGAAACAGTATTCGAGTCAGCCTTATACAATTCTTCCAAAACAAGAATTATATAATTTTTTTAGATCACTTACTCATGAGGTAACCATAAGTCGCGGGCAACTTGGTGGCATATAGCAACAACAACATACATTTAGATTCTTGGAGTGATGGTCATTATGTAATTGAAGGAGGGCATTTGCACATTTTTGGGAATTCAGAGGTTGGAAAAGTACTAAAAAGTCTTTAGGAGTAAGAACAAAAGAGCCAGAAATTCTCAATAAGAGTGGAACATGCTCATTGACATAAAGTACTACAGTATATGACTTTATGTAGGAGGTGTGGAGACTGGAATGTAGGCTGGCAACACTTCGTTATACTTTTTTCCCATTTTTAACATGATATTGCCTCAAAGTGTTCAGGGTAGCACCTCAGCCGCTTCCTTTTCTTTTCAACAGTTCTGTGAAATAGCTGTCAAATGATTAGTCTTGGGTCATCCCACATTCATTTAGTCAGAATCTAGTGCTCTGTCTATTACATTGCACTGGCTTTCAACTACATGACTGCATGAAAAGCTAACAAGATGAACTGTTTCCGCCCCCCCCAAGTAGATTGTACAGAATGTAGTTCCATACTTTGAAATTAACATACTTATTAAATCTGTCAAAGAAGCTGATTGAAACTCATGTATGATTTCCAGGTGGTCTGTCTCTGACATAGGCTAAAACATCTGCTGTGGTTTGGAGACTTGGTTTTTCAGAAGTGCCTTCAGAACAACTAAGAGCATTTTAGACCTCAACTGTCCCTATAGCAGTGGTCACAAATTGGTGATGAGGTAGACTGAAATCTCTACCACCAGTTGAAGACTACTGTAGTTCTCTCTGGATAAGGGATGGGCCATTTCAGGGTTGCTGGATCTGTTTTGTTTCATTTTGACCAGAATCTCCAAGTTTCACCAGAGAAATAGGTGCTAAAGATGTGTATAGAAAGTTAAAAAATTTAAGTTAATTTTTTTTCACACAAAAATCTCATACTTTGGAATGGAAGAAGAGAGTCCTTCTGGCTGCTGCTGTTGTTCATTGATAACCAGACATCCTAGCTAATCTGCTGCAAGTCACCCAGGGATCTAATGGTAGATCCAGGTCTACCCACCCAAGTGCTCAACAGTATGGATCTGTTCATCTACTGAAAAGAACCAATGCATCCATCATGCACCAGAGGGCACCCTCTTTCCTCCCTTTTCCGGAGAGAAAATAACTTATTTTATCCGTTGGAGGCAGTTCTTACCTTTAGAGATTCAGTCTTTTCTTACACAAACTTGCAACTCGTTAACTTCTTGGTAAATTAGCTTTAATCACTAAAGGAGATGCACCTCCTCTTTCTTGGAAGACATGGTTCAAAGCTAAGTTGTGTGTATTAGAGCAAACTTTCCATATCTTCTAATGCCCATATTTCTTTGGTTAGAGACTAAAATATGCGACAACATCTGAGCCTGTCTATTAGAGCACACAGACTGAAACTTCTACCGGTATATCATAAAGGGAGCCGCTGTTCATTCTGGTTTAGAATCTTATTTTAAGCTTTTTAGTTTGACGATTGCAACTGGAGATATATACATTCTTCCTGTTTTGGCCTCCAGTAAACCAGTGCTGTAAGTTTTTGAATCTTTTAAAAAAATCTGATGGACTAAAGATGGCATTGAATGCGCAGAATGGATCGATGTAGATCTATCTGAAGTCAAACTTCTCTGCTCACTTTGAACTCTCCCATAGCTGGCTGCTGCAGATGATTTCTTGTTTCTGATATGGAGACAGCAACCTGATAATATTTTGTAAGGAATGGCTTAGCTTGTTCATTGCAATGTCTCTCAAGAAAACTCTTTATCAGTTGTGATGCAGAGTTAAATTAATGCCTCCCCCTGACTTACTCATCCATCCATCTGCCATCTAATTTGGGGTATCATGAAAGTGCAGTGAAATTGTTGCTGTTTTTGCTGGGTGTAGATGTTTGTAGTGGAATATCCTGCTTCACAAAATTCTAGGAGTTCTGCTTTGTTTCTGACCCTGAGCTAAATTCTCCAACAGCATTTGGTTCTCCTTGGTTTCCAACTTTTGCATTCTAGTCACCTGTCATCATTAGCATTGTCATGCTTTGGTGTGTGATAAATTTCCTTCTGGATGCTTGCATGAAAGCTTTCAATTTCTTCTTCCGCATCTACAGTTGGAGCATAAGGTTGAATGATGGTTCTGCAGAGAATTTTTCCAAGAACTCTGATTGATATTATTCAGTCAGACCTTACATTATAGCCCTTAACTGCTTGTGCTGCATCTTGCCTCAGTGTTAGAGCTACTCTTTCTTCTGAGTTTGTCATTTCCAAAATAAAACACTTTGTAGTTGTTTGTCTGAAAATGTCTCATTCCTGTCCAGTTAGGTTACTCACACCACATATAATGCTTAAACATTCTATTTATCTCATTATAATATCCAGTTTACCTTAATTCATACTGCCTGCATTGCATGTCCCAGCAGTATGTTTTGTGCAGCATCAGACTTTCCTTTCACCTCTTTGCACATTGGTCTCTAGTCATCCTTTCAGCTTTAATCAGTTACTTCATTAAGATAGCTCTATTAGTACTTGACCTTTGCTCTTCTCTGGGAGCAGGAAAAAATACTAAGTTTTGTCCAAAAATATTACCTGTAGTTTTTTCACTGCTCAGTCTTAGGGCTGCAAAAGTCCTTTTAAGGACAGCGCCAACCAGGCTTTGTTTAGGCCTGACCTAAATTATAGATGCGGAAAGCTCTTTGCGCCGGTTAATTCTTAAACTAGGCTGGATTGATCCTCTCAGGAAGAACACGTTTCATTTTGTTCTAACGGAAAATAAAAATTATAGGCTGTTCCCTTAGAAAGTGGAAATATGCTGTATTTCCCAGTGTTTCTCACTTACCTTCATAGCAGCTCTGTTATGTTCATTTTGCAAGAGGGAACTCAGCCAGATAGCTTGCCGCCCATGAGACTCCTCAAGAGTATAAGATTAGGATAATATCTGAGACCAGGTTTCCTGTGCTGAATCCAAAACAATGAGGTTTTTTGCATTGTAATGTCTGTTTTGCAGATTTCCTTTTTCCTCCTATGCTAGCTATCTTGTTCCTCTATGATGTTTCTTATGCGGTAATCCTTGCTCTTAATTTCAGGAAGTGGCGCAAACAACAACTGAAAGACAAGGAGGCAAGACGAATGGCAGGGGAAGAGTCTGAGGAAAGTGATACTGAATTTCCCGAAGGTTACAAAGTTCCAGGCTTTCTCTTCAAGAAGCTTTTCAAGTATGTGAGCTAAAGTACTTGCAACAATTGACTGTTAACAAAAATAGTGTTCTCCTCCTTAGATAGATAGAAGTCTCTCTCTCTCCCCCCCCTCTCATTTTGCTTTACCATTCTACACTGGAGTAAAAAACTTTGCCTCTGAGAGAGAGTTGTTCTCTCCCCCACAGCCCAATGCTACCAGGAGATCAGCCCACAGGGCATTATCTGCATAAAACAGGAGCCTCCTTTCACCCTATTCAACCTGTCCATCTTTCCATCCAGTCACTACAAGGTATTCAGAGTTCATTGTCAGGCACTTTATTTCAACACTTGGTTGAGCATGGCCCTTTGAGCAGTGTTTAATGGAGCCATCAAACTCCCGGCTAGGTTAACATATTTCCTATCAGTTACTATGTGGACTTACAATATGTTATGCTGCTGAGACCATTATTCTAAAAATGGATCTATGATCGGGGTAATCCAAAGGGAATTCAGCTAAGACAGGCAACTAAAAATGAGTCTTGGCAAGATTACCCTCCCTAATGAAGGGTATCCCCAAGCAAGTGTGAGTCAGCTGGCAAAACTTCCTGAGTGGTTAAAAAAGATCAATTGAAGTGAATGATTTGTCTGACTTGCTCCTTCTCCCCAGTAGAGAAAAGTAGCTTTAAAACTGTTCTGATTAGGAATGGCTGGATATTAATTATAGTTTTGTTCAGGTTCTTCCTTTCTCGTGATTCCTTCATCAGTTTGCAGATTTGTTTGAAGTCTCCATAAACGTTTGTAGGTAGTACCAATATATTTTTATGTAGTTTTCCCTAGTATAAACAGTTTTACAAATAGGTTTCCTTGGTATAAAAATGCATTGTGAGTTATTTTTATTAATGCATGTTTTATATATTTATTTATTTTTGTTATGCATTGGAAATGTTTATATACTCTCCATTCGAGGAGAATAATTTATTTTCTCCATCCTCCCTAGTTCAGACCACATTTCCAGCACAAAGTTGGATCCTGAGGAAGACAAATCAATTCCCAAATGAGTTTATATTTGTGTTCTCTGAAGCCTGTATTGTTGTCCAGGCTTTAGAATTTTCATTATGGCTGAACTGAAAGAAGGGCCTCATAGATCATTTTCTGCCTGTTCTTGCAATTACACAAATAAATTTGGAAATGGATTTAGTGAAGGAAAGGGGGACTGTTTTGCTTTCTCTTGTTGTCAAAAGTTCTGTTCATTTCATAGTAAGAATGTGTGGAATAAGAATACTGATCTAGTCACATTTAAAATAGGCCCTAACTGAGCAGGGGGTTGGACTTGATAGCCAGAGAGACCCCTTCCAACTCCAGTATTCTAAAATTCTCCACGTGATTTTCAGAAGTATTTGATGGGATATTATGAGGATTCATTCTCTCTTAAATGAAAGATGATAGGCAGGTGATTCATTTTAGCTTTTCTTAATTTTAGACCACCTTTTATAAAAGCAGGTCAACTGACAAAATCCTAGGGGTAAGTTTGTTATGCCCATTTAAGTTGAGTGCATAGTCTCAGTGGACTTCATTTGGTATTGCAGAGGGCCTTAGAGATTCAGGCACATGTACACATGTGTGCATATGTGTGCGCGCGCGCGCACACACACACACTACATGTACACATGTGTGCATATGTGTGTGTGCGTCTGCATGCGCGCGCGCACACACACACACACCTCTTTTTCATTGCATCATGGCTTCTTCTTTTTCATTATTATTATATGCCTGATCCTAAAATCCATTTTGCAACTTAAACTTGGTGTCGGGTAGCTTATTGCTATAGTGGTGCCTCGCTTAGCGATGTTAATTCGTTCCAAAAAAATTGCTGCCAAACAAAAACATCACTAAGCGAAATAAAAAAGGCCATAGAAACGCATTAAAATGCGATTAATGCGTTCCTATGGGCTTAAAACTCACCGTTGAGCGAAGATCCTCCATAGCGCCGCCATTTTCGGTGCCTCTTAAGCGAGGAATCCGTGCCTGAAAACAGTGGGCGGCCATTTTGTTTACCCGGCAGCCATTTTGAAACCGCTGATCAGCTGGCCAAAAATGGGGGCTTTGCGATGATCGCTTCCCTGCGATCATCGCAAAGCTATAATACCCCATAGGGACCATCGCAAAGCAATGGCAAAAAATGCATCGCTAAGCGATTTCGCCGTAAAACGGAGTGATCACTATGCGAGGCACTACTGTACTAGTTTCCGTACTCTTAATCTGCTTTCACATTCCTTCTTTTCTGCTTCACTTCTAATTAATACTAAATGCAGTCATTCCCTTGCCACTCCCGCCTTTAACTTGTCTTTACACAGATCTTGCCTGAGTAGTATTTATGTTAATACTGATGGGACAAGATAAATCATTGATGTAAGCCATAGTCAACTGTACCTAGTAGATAGCCCTTGTCTCACACTCCAGGGGGTATAGAAATTATATTGTGTTTTCTACCTTATTCTTGTTAAGTCACATGTGACACCATCTTGCCATTGATAATGCCATTAATTTTTTTAAAAAAATCCTCTCATTGGAAGGAACATTTACTACTTGTTCTTTTCAACACTGCCCTCTTAGTTTTGATGCCCCTACCCTGTCATGTTCCATTATATTGTAACAATTATCCAATATGTTCAGCTGCTAAAACCATTGTAGTTTTGGTTTGAAGAAATGCCCCCGGGGGTGGGGTTACCGCTTTGCTATCTATATTTTTTTCTAAAAGACACCCTCTAATTATCATGGTTTGCTTTAATTAGAAGTTCTTTTAACAGTGCTTCATGAATGCATTTATCACATCTAATGTCCAAAGGCATAAAAAATGCATGACAGGGTAAATATCACCCTCATGTAAAACACATGCAGCATGTTACGGTAACTAGCTTTCAAACCCTATGAATGACTAATTCATGAGTTATTTCTGTTGTGATCTCTGTTTGCCTTCTTCTTTTGCTTTCTTATTTGTAGGTACCAGCAGACAGGTGTGAGGTGGCTCTGGGAATTGCACTGCCAGCAGGTGGGAGGAATTCTGGGAGATGAGATGGGATTGGGCAAGACCATTCAGATAATTGCCTTCTTGGCAGGTCTGAGCTACAGCAAGATCAGGACTCGTGGTTCAAATTACAGGCAAGTGCTTTTCTGCAGACTGTCAGTCTGTGGAGCTCAATTAATATTTCATTGGATGTATTGCTGTGGAGGAGGGCCCTGTGAATTATTAACAACATTTCAATTACAATATTCCTTTAATTCTTTTAGTGGGGACATCAAAGGAAAAATTTTACGAGACAATGGAGCTGGAGGGCAGGAAAAATTAAACATGTAACACTCTTAATGAATTCCAGGCATTGATGCTTCATTTTGCAGATGAGCCTCACCAGATATTTTGGGTCGATACGGTGTCTAAGGTTAGATAGCACAAACGGATTGCTTACAAACTCAATTATGTTAATATTGATAGTTTACACAATATGGAATTTTCAATTAGATGTAATACCTTTAAGTCATTTTATTACATTTTACGTTAAAATACTTGCTATGGCGAGATACCTACTGACTACTTTATAGGAAATCATAAGGCTTTGTTGATGATGAAGGTGGCATTCAGGAGTAAGCAAGGAAAAATTTCAGCAAAATCTATTTTCAGGTTAGCACGATAAGGATTTATTTTACTTTTGTAATGACAGTCCAAATAGCAATGTATATGTAGCAATCAGCCCAGCAATGAGAACAGCCAGGAAAAGTGTCTTGATATTCTTCAAATAGGCGCCCTGGAATTGAGATGTCAATTATTGGAAATTTAGAAACAGAGTGAATGGGGTGGAATTTCTTCAGGTTGGAAGAGGCAGGGAATGGAAATTGGGGGGAGGGGAGGGGAAATGAAATATATGCAGTGTTTGTTTCATTGTCAAAGCTGAACTGAATTTATTGCTTGGTTGTTATGTGCTGTCAAGTCTCTTCTGACTAATAGAGACACAGCGAGGAGGATATTCTTTGTATGGAAAATGTTAAAGGGTCAGTTTTCTGTTGCCACTCCATCGCTAGTTTCCATAGCCAAGCAGGGTTTTGAACCAAGATCTCCTGAGTTCTAGTCTGTCATTCTGTTTACTATACCACACTGGCACTCTTTTACAGCCTTAGCAACATGAAATGCATTATTGTGAGCGTCTGGTAACATAAACGAAATCTTAAAGAATAGCTTATTTAAAATTAATTGAATAAATTGGAGAACAGGTGATTTTAACAACATGAGGGTGATTGTGGAACAGTGAGAACCACTAAGTGGAGAGGTTAGCAAGTCCCAGCTGACAGTTGGGGGGAAAGTTGAGTTGGGGGGGGTTCTTTGAATAAGTTTGGGGCACCCATGATAGAACGGAAACACGCAAGGAGACTGCAACAGAGAATGGGCACTGGAATGGGCCTGAGAGGGGGAGATATGTAGGGATAATGTGGGCAAAGTGAAGGGAGGAATGGGACAGTGGGAGGAGAATTCAGAAATAATGGTAACATTTATATCCTAATAGCCTATACTAGGCATTGGGTGCTCATGCTACTTTGCTGCAGGGTTTCATCTAGATGGCCACTCTCATTTTAATTAACTGTTTATACTTAATCAAATATTGGATGAAACAAATACTGCCTTTCTCCTTTGTGTCCTGTCAAGGCAACTTACATGCAAGCTGTCTCACGAATAGTAGTAAAATATCCTGAAGACAACAAATGCCAAACAAACTAAGCAAGGAACCTAGATAGCAACAGGAGTCTGCAGTTCATTCAGAGGTTTAGAATACAGATGTCTCAACTACTCTGTGAAAGGCTAACCACTTGTCAAATAGGCATGGATTAACATGTGCCCTTACTAAGTCTTGAGTTGAAAGAATACGGTTACAATATACTTCATTTGTGAGTTGATTAAAGAGGAAAAATAAGGGTTTCATTCCTTTTGCAAGTGACCACTTATTCTAATGGCTCATACAGTATGTATCGTTTCATGGTACTGTCATCTTGCCATCTATTCTAGATTCCAAGGACTGGGTCCAACAGTGATTGTATGTCCGACCACTGTGATGCATCAGTGGGTGAAAGAGTTTCATACTTGGTGGCCTCCATTTAGAGTTGCAGTTTTACATGAAACAGGATCTTATGCCAAGAAAAAGGTATGAGTGCATTCTAACATTTTAAAACCCACACATCCAAACTTTCTCTTCATTTTACTGAATTTTACTGTATGGACAGTTCAGGTTTATTTGAAACTTTTGTTACCAAACATGGTCCTTAAAAACCCTGATTCCTTATTGTTTATCATTAGGTGATCACATTTGGGCAAAATGGTGGTGTTAATGCATAACTCCTATCAGCCCTAGCCAGCCTAGTTAACATTGAGCAATGTTGGGAGTTGCAGTCCAACATCTCTATCCACCCCAAGGTAAAAGAACTTGCCCCACTGAAAAAAAAATTTTTTTCCTGATCAACTGATGATTAGATATAAAAGCTTTTCCAGCTGGATTCCTTTGTGCTAAATGAAGAAAATCTCTCTTCCTTTAGCTGGTTTGTATGGATCAGCTAAGGAAGCAGTTGAGATAGGTATCTAACTTTGTGTGTGAGTGCTGTGTGTATGCACATGTAAGATCAGGTTAGCCATAGCCTAATTGGGACACTCACCCCATACACTGCTGATATGTGCCCCCCCTTTTTTTCATAATTATATGGATTTTGGGCTGGAAATGGTTCACATCTGTTCTAAAGGCTACCTTACCTGAACGCTACTGAAAATATTATCTAGTGGTTTCAAATAAATCTTGAATAGCATCAACCCCAAACCTTTTAGTATACCATATGTCAATTCCTCTGGGACCAGGCCAGAATCCCTAATAGCATCTTCAACTGAATTAAAAAGAGGCTAGACATCCTCATAATAATTCCTGATAATTCAGCACCAGCTTCTGAATGTGCATGGCAGAGTTGATGCTGCTTTTAGATAATGTTCTCCACCAGTTTGAGGTTGAAACTATATTATGTTCAGCCTCCCCTTCCCTTAAAGGAGCCATTTGGCTAGCTAGGGAGAGAGCTTGGAGTTTAGTAACATTGCTTTTGGTGCTCTAGGGAATGTTATTAATGCTAAATTTTGTAGAATATGAGAAAGAGGTCATGAATAAAGTCTTATTTGGGTAACTGTAAAGAGAAGAAACAGAAAGACTTAGGAAAGAAGCCATTGTGGTTGTTGGAGGCCAGAGAAAGAGATGAAGCGTTCTTGTTTCAAAAGCTGCCCAACTATAGGCTAAGAGTTCTTAGACTGCGTCACTAGGAAATACTATTCTTTTTTCTTGTTCCTTTATCATTGATGTCTGTCCCTGAAGCGTGTAAATCCATCGTCTCAAACTTCATTAAGCATAGAATTAGGAAATTATGTTAGCACAGTGTCTGTATTGTACTGTGAAATCACACTGCTCCTTTTCTTAGTAACACTGAGTTAAAATAGAGGCATGTTTGATATAAGGGTTAATTTCTGTAGGATTTTCTCCACTGAATGCTGTAATCATTTGTTCTGTAGGTAAATGTTCTTGCAGTTGATGCTGAATATCCCTGTGTCTCTTCCTTCTATGTTTATGGTACAGACAGAGGAATCAGGGTGCCAGACAATTCCCCTAGTTGGTTTCCCCAGACAGAATTATGTGCTTCATTACAGAAGGTCAAACTTCTATAGGATCAGCCTAGTTCAACATTGTGTACTCTGTTTTTACCTATGTGCTGTCTACCCCTCACAGTCTTGGAGCCTTCCTTTTCTTTTTGGGAAAAAAGATGAAAGCTGAAGCCTGCAATTTAAGGAGAAATGTGCACAGAGATGAGATTCTGTGCAGAGAGAAAGATGAAAGCCATGTTAGAGTAGACATATCCCTGGAGTGTAACTTCTATGTATGTTTACAAAACATTGGACTGAGTTTTGAAAAAAGGTGGCGATGTCCCCTCTGAGGCCTGCACATCTTTTTCTTGCAGACCGTTTAAAAGGCCTGTGGCAAACCTTACCTTACATTGACCTAAACTAGGGAAGTGGTAGGTGATGAATTGCCTTTCTGTGTTTTCCTTTGGTGTCAGCACAAATCTTTGTTTAATAAAAATTTGGCTTGAAGGAAATTTTAATTAATTACAGGTTCAGTGAATCCTGAGCAGGACTCTGCTGTGCTGTGTCTACAGTGAACGGCCTTCATGTGCCTGTGTTTTTACTCCTGTTCTCTCTGCTGCCTGACAGCGTGATTTATGGCTGTTGTTTTCTACCACTACACTGTTTGCCCTCTAGGAGGGATTGGTCTCCTGAGCCATAATAACGGCAGCACTTTCACAAAACATCTTTTAATGACAACATTGTAGCAGCCTTCTGTAAGCCAGGCTAATTGCAGAGATACCCTATTAATTGCAAAATCTAGCAGAGGTTACATATTTTACAAGCTTTTAATTTGAAATCGCCTGAGATGATTTGTCCTAAGTGTTTGCATAGAGATGCCTATAGTATTTTGCAGCAGACCATTGCTGGGAAATAGCTGCAATAAATGCATATTGGGGAGTTTATGCACATTGCTGTCCTGCATGATGCAGGGTTTCTCTCTTGTGGCTGGGCTGGCATAAACATGTCACGTTCTACTCTGCCAGCAAGAGAACTTGTGATGGTGCAGCCGCACATTAGGAGCAGAAATAAGTAACAAAATTCCAGCTATTGGGAGTGTGCATTATTTTATTAATTGCTATTCAGGGATTACTCTGTTTTTTTTATTCTTGGTCTTAGTCTTAGTTGTATTTTATTAGACTGTCCACTTACCAAATGAGGATTACATTTTCTGAATGATGATTGGGATCTCAAACGCAGTCCTTAGCACAACAATTTATGCCAAACCTTAATTGCCAAAATGGAAGTCCGGTTGCAATTTGCCAAAAATATTAGCAGCAGTCATGTCTGATTAAATGGTTTTCCTCCTTTGAAAATAAGTGTCTGGTTGAAATTTGACACTGTGTTTCTACACTTCTTATTTCAGAGGGGCTGAACAGCCCCTGGATATAGTTTTATGAGAATCCCTTAAATCAGTGGTGCTTAACCTTTGTTACTTGGATGCTTTTGAATTTAAAAGCCCTTGGATATAGTTTTGTGAGAATCCCTTAAATGATTACTTCAATACACCAGCATCCCCATGCTAGAAAGCAAAGGTCACCTCTCCTGGACAGGCTGTGTCAAATTGTTGCCTGCCAGTTACTGGTGGTTGTGCCAAAGAGTTTAGTGGGGCCAGAGGGTGCTGCCTGTTGGCTTATTTCAGTACACCAGCATCCCCATGCTAGAAGGTAGAGGTCACCTTTCCTGGGCAGGCTGTGTCAAATTGTTGCCTGCCAGTTACTGGTGGTTGTGCCAAAGAGTTTAGTGGGGCCAGAGGGTGCTGCCTGTTGGCACAATCTGACTTAGCAATTCCTCCTGCATCTGTTTGAGGTCACCTTTCCTGGGCAGGCTGTGTCAAATTGTTGCCTGCCAGTTACTGGTGGTTGTGCCAAAGAGTTTAGTGGGGCCAGAAGGTGCTGCTTGTTGGCACAGTCTGGCCCCTGACTTAGCAATTCCTCCTGCATCTGTTTCCTGGAGCTGAAGTGTGAAGGGTCTGCTCTTAGGCTAGTTGACATACGGCTGTCCTATTTGCCCCAAAGGCACAATACAGAAGATGCCCACCCTTTTTAGGAGGCCGCTGTGATGATAACCGAGAGTGAGGGCCATCCTGTGTATCAGAAGGATGGAAGCAGAAAAGTGTTGCCTATGCATATTACATATAAATCTCTGTTTGTACATTCTTATAACAATAGTTTTTTGTGAGCTGTTGGGAGGTACTTATTTTTAAAAGTAGTGAGGAGGTAGAGGGAAACAAGGAGTGGTCCTTGTAGTAATAAAAACTTAGAGGTGGTATAAGGCAAAAGGGGTTAGTCGTTATAGGGTGAGAGCCATGCCAGTTTGCGCCCCTACTGTTGCTCACTTGAGGGAGCCTGAAGACCCTTGGTAGCAATCCCACTGAGTTGGAGATAATGCTGATGAATGCCATACACATAATAGAAAACGGCAGCTATCCAGGATTTGAACCTGGATGAGTACGCCAAAGCTTGTCTTGCATCCTGCACAAGACTGGGGAAGTAATCCTCTCCCAGCTATGCCCACTAGTATTCTTCATTGGCAACATCTCTCCTGAGCATGTGAGGAGAGTCTTCTTAGTAGCCACTCCCAGGCGATGGTATTTCTTAGCAAGGGAGGCTAACTCGTATCCTGCTGCCAACTGGCAACGTTCTGTTCAGACAGGCCTTTGGCATGTAAGTTCATTTTCACTTGAAGACTGTTTGACTACTCTGGTGCTTATTACGACATTTTTTGTTGTTTTTTTAATTTTGTTTTAATATTTTTTTTTAAAAAAAAGGTTCATTTGTTTTATTGTTAGCTGGCTTGCATACCAATTTTGGTGTAAAGACAAGGAATGAGGATGAGGATTATTTCTGCAACTGCTAAAATGATAATTCCTACAAATTAAGTCTCCCTCCTTTAAACAAAGGAATTCATTTCTATTTAAAATACTTATATCTCAACTTTGTGCCACAAATGATGGCCCCCGACATGTTTCTTTTGCTATACCTTACTTTCAATTTTTTTAAAAAACCAGTAGAAAATTATTTGAGCTACGGTTGTTCCCGTCTTTTCCCATTATTCCAAATGCCAGTTAACTTTGTGCACTAGATAAATTAATCACACATGGGAAATATGTGTTGATTTAATACTTTCCATCATGGATAATGCTTACGTTCTCACTTCATACCTTAAATGAGAGGACAAAAGAAAGAAATAAGCATGCTGTGTATTTCACTGTCCAAAGCTGCTGGCCTTCCTGGAATGCAAGTGCCAATTCTGGAGTCCATTGGCTCCATAATCTGTTGATTCCAGAAGAGAAGGAGGGTGCAGTGATGGGACAACTAAGTGGCTGTAGCATAGCAGTCTGCCATCTGCTGTTATGATACTGTTGTATGCTGGGAGTGCATTCTTAGCATTTTGAACCTCTTAGGTGATGTGTATCAGCCATGTGTGAGACCTGACAACAGTTTCACTGATTCGTAGTATAAAAGCTAAAGTAAGTGCCTTAACTTAACAGTATTTATGCTTCTGATGCACACAAGAGTTGGTAACTCTAATCCAGTGATGGCGAACCTATGGCACGCGTGCCACAGCTGGCACCCGAAGCCCTTTCTTCTGGCACACGACAAACCTTTTGAAATGGTTGCAGCTGGGATTCCCCCTTTCTCTTCCAGTTCTGGGTCCTTTAACTTCCTGTCCGTCCCCATGATTGTCCCTGAAACTGCCACTTCCTGTTCCGGTTCTGGTCTTCCCGGTGGCACGACAGCCACTGGTTTCTTCCTCACCCCCTCATTTTGGGCACTCGAGCCGAAAAAGGTTTGCCTCCACTGCTCTAATCCCTCTATATCATATCTTAAATGGATACTTCTTCCTAGAATCATTTTTTTTACTTTTAGCTTTTTTCTTACAGTGTTGCAGTTATTTACTAGGTGTTGATTGCAGGTGAAGCATTAGTTTATTTGACTTCTCACTGTTTTAATAATTGGTGTTTTTATTATTTGCAGGTGAAACTGATTCAGGAAATTGCAGCATGTAATGGCATTTTGATAACCTCCTATTCGTATATCCGCTTGCTGCAAGATAGCATTCAAAACCATGATTGGCATTATGTAATTCTGGATGAGGGGCATAAAATTAGGAATCCAGATGCTGCAGTTACACTTGCTTGCAAACAGGTATGATCCTAAAACTTCAAAACATTTCATGGTTTTAAATGAGCATTGTGCTTCATCTTGTCTTTTGGTGCTTTTAAATGTGTTTTCCGTATCAATTTTATTTACCCTTTAAAATATAATCTGTGTTTAATTCTTTTAAATATTTGTATATTTACTGTTATTAGCTTTTAAATATTGTCATTTTAATGATGTAAGCTGCCTTGGGTCCTTTTTAAAGAGAAAAGTGGGTAAAATTTTAAATAAATGAAATTATAATAAATGTTGCTGCTGCTGCAAACCACTCTGGAGTCTGAAGTCAGAGAAGACTTGTATTTTTAGAGCTGTGATTCTCTTCTCTTAGGCATCCTTCAGTCTCGAGGGACTATGGTAACGTGCTCTGTATGAGTGTCCTTTCCAGAGCACGAAGTCTGGGTAAAATAATATGGAGGATAGGCTGTTACCCAAGCAAAGTCCCCCCTCTCCACGTTGCTGAAATAGTCCAATGGAAAGGCAAGAGCAGTGAGCATGAAGCAACGAATCGTCAGAACAACAACCTCCTGCCCCCTGGCGCCATCCAACTTATATGCAGAATATATCATGAGAAAAAGGGACCCCAGCTCTGGATTTTGCCTCAAGGTTTACTCCTGAAGCCTTTTCCATCAGTGGATATAGCCAAAAGGCAGTGGAGGTTTGAAATTGGAGTTTTCCTTCTTCTAGATGGGCTGCCTTCCAGGGCTGATGAGTCCCACCTACCCAGTCCAGGTGGATCACGTTTAATCAGAACTCTCCACCATGACCTGTGGGTGTCCCCACATGGCACAGCCCACAGTCTCTCTGAATTACTCAAGTCCCTTCATATCTACCGTCAGCCCCTCCTAGTAACCAACTCGCTCCTTGAAGCGGCTCAGAAAGGCAGGCTCGGCCGGCCTCACGTACGACACCTGGTTCCTTTTGCTCATGGTGGCGGTGGATTTCGCCTGGTCTAGAGGAGAGAGAAATGAGCATGAAATGACGACTCGTCAGAACAACAACCTCCCGCCCCCTGGCGCCATCCTTCCCCATTTTAACTTATATGCAGAATATATGAGAAAAGCTGGAGTGGAGGAATCGCAAGACAGAATTAAGATTGCCAGAGGAAATAACAACCTCAGATATGCAGATCATACCAGTCTGATGGCAGAAAGTGAGGAGGAATTAAAGAACCTCTTAATGAGGGTGAAAGAGGAGAGCCCAAAAACGGTCTGAAGCTCAACATCCAAAAAACTAAGATCATGGCCACTGGTCCCATCACCTCCTGGCAAATAGAAGGGGAAGATATGGAGGCAGTGACAGATAAATGTAATATTAATGAGTTGTTCTTCTGATTACACAGATTTTAAACATAAATCTTTTTTTTAAGATAAAAAGATATGAGAATATGTAATTTTAGCAATGGGAGTATAGATGTTTTAACATTACCACTAGCAGATACTTAAAAAGAAAAATGTTGTCCCTGAACACTTCCAAATTATTTATATGTTTCTCGGGTCCATAGAGCTACTCTAAGCACAATTAAGTGCTTATTCTGCTCTTTGAAAAGTAGCGCCCATGCACTCCATACTTGAACTGCTTGTGGAAGTGTTCCTCATTTCAAAATGAGTTGACATATTTGGGAATGGTAAGTATATGCATATAATTGTGTCCTTTAATTTTTGACCAACTGTCTTTGTGTAGAGACTGCTACCTCTTTTTCTTTTCTCTTTTGTTCTTTTCTTATATGTTCGGAAGGACTTAGACTCTGTATTAGGAAAATCTACATTTGATATTAATTCTTGCTTCCAGCAGATCATAACATACCCAAATTTGGTTGTATTTATTACACATATATTCATGATTTGCATGGTTTAGATTGGAATTAAGGATCTTGTAGAATCTATTTATGTTCCATTTTTTAAGTGGGATTTTTCTCAAAAGTGATGGAAAGCACATGAGTTGATACACAAACTATGGCCAATCCCATAGCTAGCACCTTGTTAACTAGCTGCACTTTGTCACATACAGCTAATTGAAGTAAAAACCCTATAGGATTTTCGGCAGTGAGTTCCCATTGTAGTAGTGAGGTTGAAAGAGGTGAGGAGTAATGAATATATGTACATTGTTAGGGCAGAATAAATGGTGCTCATGAGAGAAGGCCACAACAACATGGCAAGCTCTCTTCATTCAGTGATGGAATCAATGCTGTTTTTAATGGATTAACTTGTATATCGACCATAGTTTTTGCAGAGGGAAAAACAGTGTTGCATGCTGATGTAATATTATAATTCCTGTATTATAATTATACCAGGACCTTTTTATTTTTGTATTATTCTTTTGTATTATTCATATGTTACATTAAGATATATTCAAATGTTGACATATTTCTTGATCTGTGGGGTTTGTATTTAGGTAATGTGGTTGATGGGAAAGAAGCCAATTCATATACACTCACTGTAATTTTTCTTTTAATTGAAATACAGTAAGGGGGTTTTCATTTTCATAAACTTCTCCTATTCTGTAAATCTCATATTCTTTCTGTTTAACATATTGCCATACCTTATCTGCATAAGAAAAGTCCAAGTAAATGGAAGCAGTGGTGAAATTTCTGAAATTAAGTTATTTTCCGTTTATTCCAAATTTTTGTAGATGTTTCCCTATTGCTTCAATATCTGCCCATAACTTTCCTCCAGATATAATGCCAGTGTTTTTAATTGTTTTGCCTCATCATGTTTGTGTGTAGTGTACTGGTTTCTCCCCAGTCCCCGTGATCTAGTCTCTTTTGTGATCTAGTCTCTCTAGTCTCAGTATAGTAAGTCACTTTGTTTCACCGTTGATGGATGAAACTTTTTTTTAATCTATTGCGCCAAGTCTTTTGAGCTAATTTTTATAGGGATGTTGATGGATGAAACTGTTTTGTTTTTTTTAATCTATCGCACCAAGTCTTTTGAGCTAATTTTTATAGGGAGAGTTTGGAAAAGAATTTTGGCAACAATACCATTTTTGTAGCACCAACTCTGTCCATGGTTGCCAAATCTATCTGAGACCATCTTTTAATATATTTTCTTATTTATCTCATCACTGGATGAAAACTTAGCTGCTGAAGTTTATTAAAATTCTGTTGAATAAGTTACTCATAGGTATCTTGAGGCTTAACAGAGAGTTAGGATGCATGTATCATTTTGCATTTCATATTATCTTTTAGGATAAATATTTAAACTTCAGCTTCTTTTAATTAATTTATTGTCCTTTTACTGCTCCATACTTATGAATCTCCCTCGTTAATTCTGGTAAGGCTTGTTGTATTCTTCAGATATTGCCATGCAGTAGAGTGGTACCTCGACTTGTGAACGATTCGAGTTACAAACGGCTTCGTTCGAAAAAAGTTGCTTCAGTTCCTATCGGAACTAATGCTTCAACTGAAGAACAGCACCTCGATTTAAGAACGAAAAACAGCAGTTACGGATTAAATGGTTTTCAATGTATTCCTGTGGAAAAGTTTGCCTTGACTTATGAACTTTTCGACGTACAAACGCTGTTCCAATAGGGATCAAGTTCATAAGTCAAGGTACCACTCTATACCATAAATTAAGGTTTCATACTTATTTAATGTGTAGACAGTCTTGTTTTTAAGATTGTATTTTATAGAGTTAAAATATGATAATTGAGTGGCCAAATGTCTACATTTTCTATATTTTCGTGTTGCAGTTCTCCACTCCTCATCGAATAATCCTGTCTGGATCACCTATGCAAAACAATCTAAAGGAGCTGTGGTCCCTTTTTGATTTTGTATTTCCAGGAAAGTTGGGAACACTTCCTGTCTTTATGGAACAATTTTCTGTTCCGATTACTATGGGAGGATATGCTAATGCCTCTTCGGTTCAGGTAAAGTTGGGGGGGGATGTGTCTTGTTCATAGTCCATTTGAATGTTCATTTGCAGATCTAATTTGAATGTTCCAGTACAATCCCTCTTCTTGTTGTTCCTATTCTACTCAAGTTGGATGGTAACTAAACATATTTTATCTGGTACACATCCATTAGCGAGGGTGGGGCATAGTAGGTAAGCGATCTAAAAATATTACTTCGTTGCCAGAGGGCTATACATGATGATAAATCACTTGACCCCAGAGAAGTCAGTTTGGAGTAATACATAACTGTGATCAGCATGGTATACAAGGCAGATTCCGTTGTACAGCGTCCTACATACATCAGCAAAGATGTAAGGAATTCCTTCATTGCCTTTCTTCATCCCAAAGAGCTTTGAATGAGTGTTTTGTCATGACAATTTTCATGTCTCCCGGTCAACTAATCTTGAAAAAACATTTGTAGTGCACATGAGCCCTTAAGTGTTGTTAGATGGTCATGATACCTAATCTTCATCTGCACATGAAATACAGTCAGGATCGGCCATATCATTAACTAGTGACCTGATTGCCTCAGATAGCAGCATACCTGGGGTTTCACACAATTCTTTGGCATGTAAGACCCAAGATGCCTCAGATAGCAGCATACCTGGGGTTTCACACAATTCTTTGGCATGTAAGACCCAAGCCTTAGTCTGCAAAGGCACAGCAGCCAACAATGATTCAAAGCAGTCGCCGCTACCACTGCCATTGTCCTCTTCTCCCTGTCCCATAAGTGTTCCTGTACAGGTGGAGGGACAGTGGTAGAGCTGCTGCTGCTGCCCAGATAAGCAGAGAACTAATTAATGTAAGCGTTCTGTTAACTGGGTAATCCTATTCCACTTTTAAATTGATGAACAGTCCAGCTTCACTGTGTGAACACATACAAACATATGCATAGTCATTCATATTATCTCCTACACATTCCATTGTACACAGATACAGAAAACTAATGTCCATAACATGCAATCAGTCAAAGAACATGTACACTTCCAGTCACTTGACCAAATGGATACATGAGCACGCACATTCATAGACTCAAGTGTATACAGACATGTTTAATCATAGAGAGGTAAACTCGCAGACAATCATAACCAGATATTCACTTGTACACTCAAGAGAAATTGTAGCATTCCTGTCACTGACAGTGAACATGATATCACAGGACAAAGGAATGTACAGTATATGCATTCTCTCCATAGGGAGAGAATAGAGTGTTGGCAACACCACCAAGGTTTAAACCTCTGGTTGGGCATAAGGTTATTTGGATGACCTTGAGCCAATCTCTCACGTTGAGCCCTTATATCCTGCCTTACACGTTTTTTGTGCAGATAAGTTGAGGTGCCTTCCAGTCATGTCACCCTGAGCTTTTTGTAGAGAAAGTTTGGATAAAAGTGTTAGAAACATGTATAATAAATAAGCTGTTTTCTTGTTTAAAAGGTAACAACTGCATACAAGTGTGCATGTATTTTACGGGACACTATTAACCCCTATCTGTTGCGGAGAATGAAGGCAGATGTTAAAATGAGTCTTTCACTACCTGGTAAAAATGAACAGGTATGGTTCAGTTGTGCCATCTATCCACTTCCCATGTTGATACTTCTCTGAGACTTTGGTTATAAGGAAGTGTTTTTAGAAACTCACTGGTTAAAATCCTGTTGCTTAGTATAGTAAGTCACTCTAGAGTAGACCTAGTCCACTAGCGTAGACAGTGGTGATTTCCTGAGTCAACAGGTATGTGGGTCCCATTGATGGTATAGTAAGTCACTCTAGAGTAGACCTATTCCACTAGCGTAGACAGTGGGGATTTCGTGAGTCAACAGGTATGTGGGTCCCATTGATTCAAATGGGCTTACTCCAACTGCAAATTGCTGTTCTAAATTAAATTGCAGAGAGATTAAGCAAATTTGAATCAAGAGAATTTATGAAGGAGTTGATTCACCAAATCCCTATTGATGCATTGGGCCACTCTAGTCCAATTTACTTTGCTTAGCAATGGGAGTTTGGCATCTCTGTGTAGAAGGTACATACAGAATATTATTCCCTATAGTGAAAAAAAGGAAGCACAATTTTTGTACATTTGTTATAATGTTGCTTTCTCTTGACACTTAAATCTGACATGTAAAATGAAATGACAGTTCTGACCTAAAGGAGGGAGAGAGAGATTTTTAAAATTTAGAAGAAATTGGGGTAGATAGTTTTCTTTGTTGGAGATGAATAGTTAGAGGCTATTTGGATAGATTGCAAGTTGGTTTGAAAATCAATAATCTGGGGCGGTGGGAGGGAATCCTCTAAAGATTTGTCATGATCTAGTCAGATACGTAAAGTCTAAGAATGTTTAGGAGATGGATCTTTTCTGGTTTTGGAATTCATACCTGAGGAGCTGAAGAGGAAATCTGGCCAAGGGGTCACTTTATTAATTGCTGGTCACAGTTACCTTATTTTAAAACCTTCAGTAGGTCTGTTTGCTGACAACTATAGCCAAACCGCTTCAGAGAACTTCCTGTCATTAACAACGTGGCAAACAGAGTTTAAATAAGAATTAGAGTTAACTGTGAATTACTCCTGCCTGTCAAAGATGAGGAAATTCTGTGTGATAGGCATGTCATGAGCTTTAACGGATAAAAAGCCCAGGGGCTGAGAAATTCCCCATGGAAATGCTAAGCTCTGGAATAAAAGCAATTTGTCTACCATTTCATAGTATGCAATCTTTAGGGGGAAAGGATGTTTATCAATTGTTTTATGTATAATTCAAGATTCATTTATTGCAGGGATGGGGAACTTTGATTTATTATTATTATTTTTTAAAGGCTGTTCCAGATCCAAAATTGTTCATGGCTGAGGGATACTATTAAATTGACAATTATGACTTCTGGAGGCATGGTTTCCTATTTTTAGTTGTTGATGTTTTCCTGGGAGTTGTGGGAAGGCTCCCGATGGCTTTGATGAGCCATGCAAAGCTCATCAAAGGTCACATAATTCCCACTGATTGTAATGCTTAGTGTAAGTAACTTTTACTGGGTCTCTCTTCAGGTACTGTTTTGCCGTTTGACAGAGGAGCAGCACCAAGTTTACCAGCAATTTATTGATTCCAAAGAAGTTTATAAGATTCTCAATGGAGAAATGCAGGTCAGCCCAGCTGAAGAATTGAACGGTCTATGTGAGAAACAATGTTTGCCATTTGCTGCCAAAACTGCTTTGCAGCCTCTTGAGAGCAGTAGGCATGAAAACTCAACCGAACTAGCAAAATAAATAGGATGTATATTTATGAAGAAGATTCAAAATCTCCTTTAAATTAGGGATGGTCAGCTTCTTTAGCATAGACAGCTGGATTTGGTTGTTCAGCAGTGAGTTCAGTGAGATAAAACACCTGGTTGCAGAGCTGCGGGTGGGAAGTTTAATTCTCCATTGTCCCTTCGGCGAACTAAATGGTCCCAGGGCACCCCAAGAAAAAGGGACTGGTAAACATGTATAAGTACATTATCCCTAGAAAACTCTGAGAAGGGTTGCCATAAGTCAGAATCAGCTTGACGACACACTGTTGTTGTTAGGAAGAGCAAGAAAAGAAATGAAGGCTTCTCTTGTTAGTTTCTGATGGAGTGATTTTAGAAGAATCTAGTGGTTCTTCAGCATGCAGAAGATCCCAGATTTAGCCAATGGTGTTTCTAACAGAAAGCACTTTGTGTAGCAGAGCTTGACTATATCTCTGTTTCAGACCTAAGAAAGCTGACATTGGAAAGCTGGTATTGGGCAAACTTGACCAATAAAATCATTTATTTTAAAACAGGCTGTTTAACTACACTAGGCATTTAACCTGGACTCTTCTGTGATTTTAGGTATAGTATTTTTTTAAATTGTGTTTTCAGAGGTCTCCCCTCTCCACATGATTTTAGATTATTATTTTATTTGATTGCATGTTTATTTATTTTAATGGTCAAATTTATTTTGCTTTTAACTTATATTCTGTATTTTAATTATTGTGAGCTGCCCTCAGTCTCTTTATACCCCCCAACATTTGTTCTTTATCAGCCTGCTTTTTCTTTTTCTTTTTTTTCCTTAGCTAGGTTCATAAGCCATGTAAAGAATAGATTTGAAAACATTGCACCAATAGAGAACAGCTATGATCAGTAACCCCTCCCTTTCAAACATAAACTGTTAGGGTTTATGTATTTTATTTAATTTACTTTAACCTTAAGGTGAACAGACCAGTCAGAAAAAAATAAGTAAATATACTGCATAAACTGTTCACTGAGCTTCTCTCCAAAAGCACCAGTAAGACGAACACAAGGAATTACTTATCTGTTTTGCTGGTTCAAACATGATTTGTGTGACACATGGGGAATGAAAATGTTTCATTACATCTTCTTTGTAGGTTTTCTCGGGATTGGTCACCCTCAGAAAGATCTGCAATCATCCAGACCTTTTCTCTGGTGGCCCTAAGATTTTGAAGGGTACACCTGATGAGGAAGTGCATGAAGAAGACCATTTTGGATTCTGGAAACGTTCTGGGAAAATGATAGTTGTAGAATCTCTGCTAAAAATATGGCACAAACAAGGCCACAGGGTGCTGCTTTTTACTCAGTCTAGGCAGGTAAGTGCATTTAACACAATGTCTGGTATTATTCACGACATACTTGATACGGGAGGAAAGTGGCTGAATTCTCTGATGAGTGCAATGCTTCAGAATCGTCACGGTGGGAAGCTAACTCTTTTTAGCTGCTTAAATATGATCAGCATGTTTGTGCACACCTTTTTTTAATCTACTAAAAGCATTCTTTTCCCTTGTTCTTACTCAGTACTGTCTTGGATTCAGCATGTTTTAATATATTTATTCTTCAGTGTAAATTCAGTAGATTTCTCAGCTACTGCAAAAGTACGCTGATTAGGATTGCTTCCAACATTATATTTAGAAGGTATGTATAGAGAGAGATGTATAGCCTGCACAATCAAATTGTAAAGCTCCCAGGGGATGCTTTAATTGCTGCAGCGCAGTATATAAGCAGCATACTTTTGGGTTTTTTTAGTTATCAAAAAATTGCGTGTTCACTTAGATGTTTACCTTCTTGTTAATTATTCTTGTTAATTACTTGCCCGGTTTTCACATTGTTGAATTCTGGATTTTTGAATTCTGAGTTTATTATGGTTTAGTTATTGATAATCTGTGTATTTTAATGTCTCTTTTAATGTCCAGTTCGGTTTAGCACTTGAAAGATATTCTGGGAATTGGTGAACCATTTAAAAATTGATAAATAAAGAAAGAAATAAAATATATTTTTAAATTTGATGCCCTTTTCAGCAGAATCCTCCCCCTTCCCCCAATGTTTTAGATGCTGCACATCCTTGAATCGTTTCTGAAGAAGAAGAGTTACTCCTACCTCAAAATGGATGGGACCACACCAGTTGCATCTAGGCAGCCCCTGGTGACAAGATACAATGAGGTGAGAAGCGTCTAGTGAGGCCAATTTCTGAAGTATTTGGTTTTGCAAGGATTAACAGAGTAAGAGCAATACTCAGGTACACAAATATGCCACTCATTTGTGGAGTTACGCAAATATTTATAATAAGCAGTGGTCCCCATGTATTTTGAATGAGAATTCTTCAGGTGAGGGGAATTCATTCTGAATTATGGAACACAGACTCAGATCTGTTTACTTCTCAGGTACCTACAGTTCTTTGAGTGCTGTCTAGGGTAGATGACACAAAAAGAAAAAGAATGGGAAAAGAAGAAGAAAGAAAGCATTACACTAAAACATTCTTTTCAGTGAGGAGGCAGCAAGCAAACTCCCTGCAGAATTGCCATCACATACTGCTGGGTGTGGAGAGTGAACATTGGTTGCCTCTCCTCCCTCTTAATGTGCCAATCTTGCCTCAGAGACTACCAGAGATCAATTTATGGGAACAAATTCATAACATCTGAATAGGGTTTCCAGTCTGAAGAGAACAACCTTATTCTTTATCCACACTCTATATGCTGTTCTTGCCTTTGCTGTGGGTATGAATCCACCCTTGAGACAGTGATAACCATGGCTTACTATGTTGACCAAACACCATTGATGACTTCATGTTACATTTATTACTTTGTGATTCTTTGAATTATTCTCAGCCCTTAATTAACTTCAGACTTAGTTTTCCTTACACCCTAATCCTAAATACATTTATTCAGAATTGGGTGCTATTGATTTCAGCAGAACTTGTTCCCAAATACAAATGCTTGATACTCTGTAGCCTTAAGAAACCAAAATGCAAATTCACCTCATTCACAAGCTGGCAAGATCTAAATGTGCAATTTCCAACTTTTCCTAAAAATTGCCTTGTACTGCATGTATTTACAGGATACATCTGTATTCGTATTCCTTCTTACTACTCGCGTTGGTGGACTTGGTATTAACCTGACAGGTGCAAACAGAGTGGTTATCTATGACCCTGATTGGAATCCCAGCACAGACACCCAGGTAGGGTTTGAGGGGCAAAACCCACCAATCTGAGCTGGCTCTGATAATGGACCCTGGCCAACATTTTCCTTGAATATCAGACTGTCTGGTAGGTTAAATGTCTAGCTTTTTTTTGGAGGAGTAAAAAGCATTTGGGAGGTGTGCAAGGCTTAGGATGTTTCAGTGCTGTGGAGACTTTCCTGGCATACTGTTGTTCTTTCTTAAGTACCAAACTGCACATTTTTTAATGAATGTACAGTCATGCCTCGCAAGACGAAAAACTTGCAAGACGACGGTGTTTTGCAATTTTTTGTGACTCGCAAGGCGAATTTTTCTATGGCCGTGCTTCACAAGATGATTTCCCCCCTTTTTTGTTTGATTTAAATCACACAACCATTAGTACCGTGCTAATTTCCCCCCTTTTTTGTTTGATTTACGTAAATCACACAACCATTAGTACCGCGCTTCGTAAGAGGAAATTTTTGCAATACGACACAACTCGCGGAATGAATTAATTTCGTCTTGCAAGGCATCACTGTAATTAAAACTGTCCTTTTGCTTTAGAGCATGTGCCTGAAGTAGGCCTTGGTCTAGTACACTGGTTCCCAGCCTTGGGTAACTCAGGTGTTCTTGGACTGCAACTTCCAGAAACTCTGCCTAGCATAGCTGCTGGTGAAGGCTTCTGAAGACTGCAGTCCAAGAACATCTGGATTACCCAGGGTTGGGAGCCACTGATCTAAATCATGATTGTGGCATAGAGAGAGAAGGTTGTATATTTTCTTTTCATTGTTTTCACACTGCATTTCAGTCCTTGAGGTTGCTCTGTGCCTCCAAAAGACATAGCAGCTTTATGGGACAATTTTCATCAGGAAAACAAAATGCTGAAGAGGGTTAATCTAACTTTGTATGGAGCAAGTCCAGGTCAGGATCCTGCAGCTGCTTTTTCTGTAAAAGAGGGGAAGAAAAATGTGGGTTAGCAGATCAGTCTAAGCACATCAGTTTATTGTATCTTTAATGCAGCATCTTGTTTTGCCTTAAGGCAGATCCACTCCAGTTCTGTATTTGGAAGTGCCATTTGCAAAAAACATTTTTGTATTGTAGGCTCGAGAACGTGCATGGAGAATAGGCCAGACAAAAGATGTGACAGTGTACAGGCTTCTTACTGCAGGCACAATTGAAGAGAAAATTTACCACAGGTTAGTGGAACCATACAAGTATATTGATCTGCTATTGTTTTATCAGATGTAGCACTCAGAAGCATTAATCTATTACGTTTGTATCCTGTCATTTTGAAACTTACGACCACGTACAAAAGGGTCTCAGATACAGTCCCATCCTGGCATTGACCAAGACCTCCTGCTTCCCTTCATCCGGCTTGCTGTTTCGTGTGCATCGGGACCATGTCCTGAACATAGACAAGCACTTTACGTTGCTTCGAAGGGGGAATGTCAGAATGCCGCTGGAGCCAGTCCTTCTGGGACATAGGCTGTCAGTTGAATTTGTTCCCTCCTTCACAAAGGAATGCAGAGAGAGAAAATTGGCCTGCTGAAGCCCCTGATAGCTTTTAGTAAGTAGGGCAAGTGCCTGCTGGGCAGTTAAAATAACTCCCCTCTGCACTGAATATCCTTTGAAGGAAAGGGATAAGAAGATACCTTTTCTTTTCCAGTTCTCTGGAATGCGTAGATTACATTGTAAGGACACATTGTTCCAGTTTGGGACTGACTGACTGTGAGCCCTCTTATGCAGCAGGATCTTTTCCCTTTGAAACTGTTCTCCTGAGGACCAGCCCCTACTGTATAAGGCTCATGTTTTAAGAACACACCTGTCCAAGATGGAAGGAACATTGCTAAAAGGAGTTTCATTTCCTAGCTGTGTTCACGCTCACATTGAAGCAGAACGCCAACCCCGTCGATACAGCTTTCTTCGGTTGCCAGTACTTGTAATTCTCCTTTTGCTGATATAGAAGCACCTTCTCCAAACCTCCTAGATTTTTAGACTTCACTTCTATAGAGGGGGTTGCTGAATTATTTTTAATTGATGTACTGCTTAGATACAGGTGTGCCTGAGATGTTCTACTGTCTTATCAAGAAAACCTGCTGCACAACCAGGTTCACCTGAGAGGCTATCAGGGAATTTAATTTGCCTTCTTTGGATGTCCCATAAGTAGGCTAGTGGCAAGCATAGTTTCCTCAGTGCACCTTCTCACCTTCAGCATGTCTTTGCCCTCCAACCTTTCATTTCTCTTGCCTTGACTAACCGAGCAAACCTCCATCATCGTTTGTTAGTTTGGATCTCTCCACCTGTTTCTTTGTTTGTAAAACAGAATGTCATTTTCAGTTGTTTGTAAATTCTGCTAGGAATAAACTTGCCCCATAGGATGGTATTTTGATGTGTTGTGGGATTTTTCAATTCAGTAAACACCATGGTTAACATTTGGTGAATTGCTTAAAAGTTACTAAAGTAAATCAGAACATCTGTGTGAAGCAAGAATCTTGTTGCACTGTGTAAATTGTTCTCTAGGGTAAAATTCACATCAGTAAGTTTTTCTTATGGGGCCTTGTGCTTAATGCGTAGAAGAGACAGCTACAAGAGACAGCTACACATACATCTATAGGATACTGTTTTCGCAGACAAATATTCAAACAATTTCTAGCAAATCGGGTGTTGAAAGATCCAAAGCAAAGGAGCTTTTTCAAATCCAACGATCTCTATGAACTCTTTACACTGAGCAGTCCAGATGGAACACAGGGGACAGAAACCAGTGCCATCTTTGCAGGTAAGGCAAGGGGGTTGGTTGCCACATCTATAGGACAAATTGAGAGTCAAGAGTAGCAGTTGATTTTCTGTGTCATGTATTTCAGGCACTGGTTCTGATGTTCCAGCACCAAAGCGACACTTAAAGCGCAAAGCCACAAAGTCCTCTGAGATTTCTAAAAGATGCAAATATCTCACGGAACATACCCCACCCACAGGCACTGAATTGCCATGTTCCTTGGCAGCAACACAACTTGTAAGTTCACCTTCTACAAAAATGGAAAAAACTGAAGATACCAACACAAACTCATCCCTTCAGATGCCTAGTTCTTCAAACGATAATGCCCAAATTACTGCTAATAATACAGATTCATTCAGTAAAGTAGCATATTTGCTCGCAGAATTACGTGAGAAACCATCGTACAGAGCACAATTTGAAAAGAATCGACCATCGGGGAGTTTGGAGTTACTGAACTCATTGCCAGTTGGTGAACCTAGTGTGAAATGTGGCAGTCAGCATAATGTAGTACATGAGAACTATAGCCATTGCAAGGAGCAGGACAGTAACAAGCAACTAGATAATAATGAAGGCAAGCATTCTTCAAAAAGAAAACATCACAAGGACACAACAAGAAAATCTAAACATTCCCGAGGTGCCAAGTTTGAGGGTGAGCGAATTCCTCATCTGGTGAAGCAGAGAAAGTACCAAAAGGAGGAAACTGAGGAGGAGGAGGAGAAGGATCCAAAGAAAAACGATGACTATGTTTTGGAGAAACTTTTCAAAAAATCAGGTAATCCTCTTTTTGGGCACCATTTTGTAAAAGATGAGCAAGTCTTGGATTGGCTCTGAAAACAATTATACCTAATTTTTCAAATGAAAGCAGTTGGTGGCAGCTGAAGTATAGTACAGAAAGCATAGCTTAAATTCTTTAACCAGATGGTGTGAATGTATTTCTTCCTCTTCTTTCTCCTCCTCTTTCCTCTTTCCTCTTTGCCTTGTCTGTTCATTCAGGTTTTTGAAAACTTTGAAGGGAAAGAAAAATGGCAGAGAAAATAGTGTTATCTAGTATGTGTCATCTAGTCATCTAGTATGCCCCCCTGTCTTTTTATTGTGTCATTCTCTGTGAATCAGTCCTACTACAGGTAAAATATACTTCTACCAGATGTTTATCACCAAGAAATAACAGTCCCATACTAATTTAAGGTGCAAACACTTTTGAACTTCTATTCTATTAATGCTCTTAAATAAATCCAGTAATATTTAATTCTGGATTGCGTGAAACGATAGTTTTACCTAGTAAACTTTTTCAAAGTTATGTGCTCTGGCAGAAGTATAAGCAATGTATGATAATGCCTGGTGCCTGTTGGTGTTTAGCACTTGCCATCTGCATGTCTGTATATCTTTGCTTGGTCTTTTGCAATTAAGAACCAGTTTCAAAATAAGGCTTGGCATTAACTGTTACATTCAGAGTTTGATGACTTCAGGTGAAGGACTTGTGCCACAGGTAAAAAGGGATGGTGCAACTATTGTTTTTTTCACCCCTGAACAATTCTTGCGACTAGGGCAGTGTGACTGCACAATAAAAGCAATGCCCTCCATGTACTTCAGAAAACAAAATGCTGTAGATCTTTTTCTCGCTTCTCCCCCCCTCCCCTCACTTGATCTCTCACTAAACCTCTATCCTGAAGAGCCTCCCTCTTCAGTGATGCCTTCAGTGACAGGTCTCAAGAGCTATGCTCTCTTCTAGGAGAAGCTGTCAGGCCGCTGGATGTGTCTCAGGGCCCTGCTGGAACTCTTGGTTGTTTCTTCTCTGTCTTCTCCCAGTGTTGTCCTCTTTCCACAGCTGCATGGGCGCACTGAGGGAGCCAGATGGAAAAGGGCTCCCCTAGGCAGATGGTGGGGCAGACCTGTGCCTTGCGCTCCAAATGGGGTACAGCATCCCATGGACTTGCTTATTTCCTGTGATGGATGATTAGACAGCTGTTTCAACCATAAACAATGGAAATGTTGAGTTATTGTGTTGGTCTCTCAAGTTACCCAATCACTGCAGAGCAGAATAGTAATTCTTCCTCCTTGTGCCTTCACCCGTTCTTCCATTACAGGAAAATATCTTAAGAATTGATGTATGCTACAGTACATGAGCTTCTGTTAGTATTTTAACACATAATTTTAGATGATCTCCCCCCCCAAAAAAAATAATAAAGACAAGCTGTAATTATTTTACACCCTCAGGAATACACAGTGTAATGAAGCATGATGCCATTATGGAAGCTTCCAGTCCACATTACATGCTGGTGGAAGCGGAAGCCAATCGTGTTGCTCAGGAGGCCCTCAGAGCCTTGAAGATGTCTCGACGGCAATACCAACAAGTTGCTTCTGGTGGGGCTGGGCCCAGTGGTCTGTCTTGTGTGCCAGCAAAAGCAAAGTAAGGCCTATGATGATCCTTCTAATTCCATGAGCTTGTGCATGTATATCTTGGGGCTATGTTTCTGTTATGTCACATCTGCAGAACAGAATTGTGCACCTCTGCCGTGAGAAGAAACATGAAGGGCCAAGCAACATACAATTGTGTGCTTCTCTAAATCTTGCTATCTTCCCTACTTGTGCCCTTATAATCTCCCGCAGAACAACCCTCTGCTGATTCAAGATCTAAATGGGGTGGATAAAGTGAGGTTGCAGACAGCACAAAGACCACCAGGGCCCCCCAGTAATAATAATAATCATGTGCCATCAAGTCAATTTTGACTTAACGGCAATACTTTCTAGGGTTTTCCAGGTAGAGAATACTCAGGAGTGGTTTACCATTCCCTTCTTCTGGGGGCACCCTGGGATTGTGCAGCTTGCCCAAGGCCACACAGGCTGGTTCTTCTCACAGGAGGCACAATGGGGAATCAAACTCCCAATCTCTGGCTCCGTAGCCAGATACAGTGGTGCCTCGCATAGCGATCGTTCCGTTGAGCAATGAAATCGCTTAGCAATGGACTTTTTGCAATCGCAAAATCGCTTTGCAATGGTTTCTATGGGGTTTTTTCGCTTTGCGATGATCGCAGCGAAGCGATCATGGCAAAGCGACCCTTTTTAACAGCTCATCAGAGGTTTCAAAATGGCCACCGGAAAAACAAAATGGCTGCCCGCTCTTTTTCCTCCCTTAAGAGGCAGCGAAAATGGTGGCGCTATGGAGGATTTTTGCTTAAATGTGAGTTTTTAAGCCCATAGGAACGCATTAATCACATTTTAATATGTTTCTATGGGCTTTTTAATATCGCTTAGCGATGAAATGGCTTAGCAACGTTTTTTCTGGAACGGATTAACGTCGCTAAGCGAGGCCACTGAGCTATCCAGCCAGCCCATGGGCCATCATTTTAAAAAAGAAGAAGAAGAAGCAAGAAAAGGAGTGGGAATCCAATTTTTGCTTTTGCAAAGGCCTATGGGAGCAGTACGTTTTGTATTAGGGAGCTGTGGTTCCCTGGTTCCAAAAATATCACAGAAAAACAAAAGTACCTGCCCAGGCAATTCCCATTTTTATTTTGTCTTCTACAAAGGGCATTTCTAGGCCAGATACAGCCTGTACCAGCCCACTGAGGTTGCCCGTCCCTGGTCTAAATGGAAAACTTGCAAAGTTTGCTGATGCTCTCCTGAATTGCTGAAGAAGACAATGAACAAATGCTCTGGTGTTCTTTGACTATTGCACCTTCTGATTTATAGACAGTACTTAAACTCTGGCTAGATAACATTTGATTTCCTCATATATCTTCATACTAACTATCTTCACAGTACTATATAAGCACTATTTCCATTTCATAGATAGTAAAAAGAGCTTGAGAAACATTGATTTGGCAAATATGTCTATTGACTACATTCAAGTCTAATGGTGTATACACCTTTGCTGCTCAAGAAAAGGTAGTCTTGGTTTCCTCAGTCTTTCATGCATCCAATTAATAAAGTCTTCAGCTTTAGTATATGCAATAAGCCCTGGGCAAATGTGACTAAAAGCACTAACCCAGGGTGTGGAATGTCCTGTCTGTACACTGTTCTTCTCAGCCCCACCCTTTAATTCATCAATTACACTTAGGAAGAAATGGTCCCATTTTGTGTGAATGAAGCCTTTTTCCATAAGGGCAGTAGCTCTGCAGGAGAGGCAAATAATGTCTTCCTTGTGTACTGTCAGCTGTTGCTTAGTTGTAGCCACTTTGTCTTAGGAAAAAAAGGTGTTATTAGATTAAAAGCCTAAATGCCATGTGAGGAACAGGATTTGAAAAGGGAGTGAGAGCTGGGGACATAGAAAGAGTAAGACAGAAGATGGGGGAGGCAGACGGAAGGAAAGATTTAAGTGATAATCTGAATGAAGAGGGCGGGTGGTGGATTTATGTATATAAATGGGCAGGTTTGTGGTATTAGCCCTGCCTGCTTGTGGCAGTGCCTCCAGCCACCTCTGGTATGTGACTCTCATGATAAAAAAAAAGTTCATATTTGTGATGTGTCTATTACATCTTATGGTATGAGTGTGAGAAGAACATGCTTCTTGGTATCTTTCAGGTGTAGGTTTGGTCAAAAGAAGAACCCAAATACGGCGATACCATCGTCATCTTCCCTATCTCCAGGAAAGAAGTGCAAGGTAAAAAAAATTATAGTATAGCTAAGAAAAATACTACTTCATTTTAAATTTTACATTTTTGATCAATTATGTGATCATTTTGCATGTTAACTGTTTCCTCATTCTAGCTCCATAAAATATATAAACTTCAGTGACATACAACAGTAGTACATTCCTTTCATTGCAAATCAAGGGGCAGTGGCTGACCTAATGGCTTATCTAAGAAGTTGAGGCTAGGTACAAAATAAACTAAAAATGCTTTACTTGATGCTTTCAAATCGTTTAGTGAACATACCAAAATCTATGAGAACTCTTCCAAAACGGCCGTTTAAAAATGGACATTTTAGTGTAACACAGTTTGATATGTTTTGTCAGAGTTTAATGCTAGCACATGCCTCAAAACAGAGGTGCTGTGTAATTGGAACTGCTGGAATTTCAAGATGTTTCTGTAAGCCCCTTATTGCTACCGGGTATAGTCCATTTTTTGCATTTATCAATGCAGATCCTCTAAGGTGGTGGGGGAGGCAGACATTTCACTTGCCCAGTGTTGTTATTTGATAATATGTATGGAAAATGTGGCACTTGGCAACTGTTTTACTTAGTGAAAATGCACATACTTGTACACCTAATGCTACCCAACATTTTCTCACATAAGCGTCTATATTGTAATGTCTTCTGGCTCTCAAAGGTTAAGCATAGTGTATAGATAAGCTATTCTGTACTTGTACACCTAATACTACCCAACATTTCCTCACATAAGCGTCTATATTGTGATGTCTTCTGGCTTTCAACAGGTTAAGCATAGTGTATAGATAAGCTATTGCCTCTTTACTTGCAAATGCTGCCTTAAATTGTTGTTGTGGGTTTTCAGGCTCTTTGGCTGTGTTCTGAAGGTTGTTCTTCCTAACGTTTCACCAGTCTCTGTGGCTGCCATCTTTAAAGGACAGGAGTCAGAATTCTGACCTCTGGTGCAGTTTGTTTGGATAGTTGTGAT